ACCTGCTCTATCCCATGCATAATCTTATAAACCTCAATCATGTCACCTCTCAGTCGTCGTTTCTCCAAGCTAAAGAGCCCTAAGCACTTTAACCTTTCCTCATAGGGAAATGCTTAATCAGAGTTATCATTAGCTATGATTTCTTGCTTCAAGACTGCCTAAGATTCCAAACTCATAGTAGCCTGTAGACATGACTTAACTGGATACCAGTAACACCAGTAACGCCTGCTAGTCCTGATGACACCATCCATCTACAGAGCCTAGGTATGTGCACTCCATATATGCATGGGCTCAGGAGTGAGGCATCTGCCCCAGGCCATCAGCCCACTGGGACTCTTCCTGGTGGCCTTCATGGCCAATCTTCCCCTGGTCCTGAATGATGGTCAACTTTTAAGTATTTCTCCATTATTACTTAACCAATAGCTAGTGTATTTACTCAAAAAGAAGACTACTCTGAATGCATGACATTCTCCCTAATAAAATGTTAGTACACAAAAGGCTTTTTTAATTATTGTACTTACCTTGTTTGTGAAACTAAGATGTTTCCCTCTTTTTTATTGATGGCATACATGGGAAATAACCCTGCTCCTTTCAGGTCGGTAGGGCATTATATCTGCAAAGGCCCTATATGTTTGTTGCTGGTTGCTTCCTTCTGAAATACAGATATGAATGATTCTTCTCAGTTTTATATTTTCCTGTCCCTTTAAAATATAACTATGTCTTCTTAAAGCAACACAAAGGCTAGTCTTTTGAGGATAGGTGTATATCTTTTTGCAGAATAATACATTTTGATTTTAATAAAGGAGATTTATTTTTAATTTTGGAGGACATACTTAATAAACAGTATACTTTACACAAGGAGACTGCAAAAAGTGTAAGAAAATATGGAGAAATGGATTAAATCAACCCAAGTACATTCATTATTAGATTATTTATATAGCAGTGCATTTATATTTTTAAGTAATTAGGGTAGAGGTTTTAAATAAAGGTAGAAAAGAACATCCTGCATCCTTGTGATGTTGTAAAATGATAATTTATTCAGCTCATCAGCCCAAGATATTGTCTTGTGTTATGACTGCCTCCAGCAATTGAAGAGTTGTTGAATTGCAATGCAGATTGTAAAATGATTTGATAAGAATCTGCTAACCATAGTTATAAGACTGACCAAAGGAGTAGAGATCTGATATACCTTTTAATAATTATATAAATGACCATATTTTGGAGGGAAGGTGCAGTTTATCGTACAGGAATGCGAAAACTGCACCTGCTGAAAATACCCTTCTGCTCTGCTGAAAAGTACAGGACCCTGTACTCCTTTGCAGGTCTCCATGTTTGTTAACCAGACCATTAAGGGGTTTAGTGGCATTGATTTACATTGTGGTCGAGGCACCAAAAGCAACTTACTAACAAATAAAAAGGCAGCATGGTATCTGTGCATGATTCTGGAAACTAAAGCACAGAATCTGGCAACAGGACCCTAGTGTATTACTCTCGGCTCTTACCATAGAGTTACCAACCTCCAGGTGGTGGCTGTAGCTCTCCTGGGATTACAACTGATCTCCAGGCGACAGAGATCAGTTCACCTGAAGAAAATGGCCACTTTGGGAAGTGGAGTCTGTGCATTACACCCCATTGAAGTCCTCTCCTCTCCTCAGGCTCCACCCCTAAAATCTGTCTGGCAACAGGACCCTAGTGTATTACTCTCGGCTCTTACATGCAAGGGAGATGGTTTGCTCTCTGCAGTGCTGCAGTGTTGCAAGATAAAGCTAGTTTAGCAAGACCAGGTGACACAAGAGGCCTTGTGTGGCTAAAGCTGCTGACTTTGACCAGCTGCCTCAGTCTCAGGGTGCGTTCAGACGGACAGCTAATCCCACCATTATGCCGGCTCAAATTTGATCCCGATCTTTTTAATCCATCCTCGCACAACCAGACATCCCCCGGGGGAATCACCTTACCGCACGCTGCT